ACCCACACAAAGTTGTCAACATTTTTGAGATGATAATTACATTTTTAAGGATTGATGCTGTTGGTAATGTAAAGGTGGCTGATTTTGGTCTCTCTAAAGATGTCAGTGGTAATGTTTATTTCCGGCAACAAATGTCAAGTGGAGTTAAGCTACCAATCAAATGGATGGCCATTGAAAGTATAGAGGATGGTATATTCACTGAAAAGACTGATATAGTAAGAGAAATAAGTATATGCATTACTATACTCACACACACACACATACACACAGTGGTCATTTGGTATTACAGTATGGGAAGTGTTTAATGGAGGGAAGACACCTTATGGTGGGTTTTCACCAACATGTGTTAAGACTATGATATCTGATGGATACAGACTTGAAGCACCTTCAAATTCAGCATGCAATGATGATATGTAAGTAATACATTAATGAGTTGAATTATTAGTATAATCATCATGCTTATAGATATCAGAAGACAATGCTAAAGTGCTGGGAGAGGGATCCTAATGAGAGACCAACATTTGCTCAAGTTGTGACAGATATTGATACATTGCTATCAAACAGTGTTGGATACTTGGACCTTACAATGTAACTCAATCTTACAACGCAAACTCATGCATTATAGATTTTTTACCTATCATATAATATGATTTTTACATAATAATACAAATATGATACAATATTTTGATAGTTTAATTAGGTAACATGATAATTGTGTGCATCACTTATGTGCATGCTGCCAAATTTTTATACAAACATATTATATCAGCCATAGGGTCAATTAGATGAAAGAGTATTACTGCAAGTAGAATAATACTATTAAACCGTATTTTACAAAATTTATTCAAAGCAACTTGAAATTTTTTATCAGTTACTCAGTTTATAGATATCTGCTTAAACCTTTGACCCATAACGTAAGAACATGTACTAGTGTATAGTCTCACTGCCCAAACCATCCATTACAGTTTTTGAGTTAATGGCAAACTGGGAGTGAGACTAACCAATGTACATCATTATGTATGATTTTCCCTGTTTCAATTTTAGCAAAATTTGACTAATAATCATGTACCCCCTAGGGGCTTTCTACTCATTACATCAATCAAAATGCAGTCATCACTATAATTTTTAAAGCCAGAACAAAATTTCAACTTGAAAGAAAAAGAATTATGCATCCATTTATACACTTCTTAAAAATTTTAGGAATAGCTAAGTGTGTATTAGTTTTTCCACTAGGCGCTTTAGTTACGAAAATAATGATGCACTTAGAACTATTTGAATAATGCCACTAAGAAGATTTAAAAATTCAATAATTGTACAGAATTGTTCAAAAGGTAATGAGCCTTGAATAGAAATTACAAAAATTCTATTTACTACTTGACTTGGCTCACACCTGCACATGCACATTTACATCATTATTCATTAGTAGTACTCTTCTTCTTCACAATGACAGCAAATTTTCTCCTTGGTCTGTTTCTATTGATTCTCCTGTGGCATTTTATAGTTGGAGACTTAGGTGGTAGTGGAAATGTGTTTGAATATGAGCAACAGATGGACAATATCTCAAATGAAAGTTAGTGACCAAGTTCTTAGAAATTTTTTATGTAACTACTCCAGATTCAAAAATGCAGGATGTAGTCATTGCACAAGATCCCTTTCTCTATTATTTGGACTACAAGACAGTGTACATGAACTGTTCTGTTTATGGAGAGTCTCCATTTGAAGTCTCATGGTTGTATAGTACTGATGAGATATCTAATAGATCCAGTGGCTACACTATCATCAGTGGTAGTAAAGTGTCTAATATTGTGTACAATCCTAACTCTGATGATGAAGGATATGTGTTGTGGAACAGTTCTCTTCTTTTAAATCCTATTAATAATTCAACAGTTGGATATTACTACTGTAGAGTCAACACCTCATTTGGTCCAATCTATTCAAAACCAGTTTATATCAAGAAGCCTTGTAAGCCATTAATCTTATCATGGGTATAAATACATAATGTAATAATTCCTATAATTATGTAGATTTACCAAGGCTAAGTTCAACAAAGTTCAATAAAATTGGTGGAATGGTGCTTGGAACATGGAGAGTGATAAGTTTTCCATTGCCAAATATACTAATTTCATTTCAGTACTTGAGTGCTAACTCCCTAGGCCTCTATAGAAAAAGAGTATACAATGGCTACATGACTGCCAATGTGTCAGAAAACTTTTACAGCACAAGTCACCATTTTACTTACGTTAATAAAACAAGTGACAACAGCCTGACTGTGCATTGGAGGTTTCCGTTCCAACAGTTATTTTCAATGCGACTAATAGCAATCAGTTATGATGACTTATCTCAAAAAGCACACCATCACAAGCTATATAATCATTCTGGTATGAAATCGCTGTATCAATTAAAATACTTATATCTTTCACTTTAAAGGTCAAGCGTATGTGAATTTTTTAAGTTTATTTCATCATGAATTAAAGGTCACCTTTTCATGTCTCTGTGGAGAGTGTGATGACATTGAATGGAGACGAGACAATGTACCACTACCACAGAGTAGCTATGGTGTTGTTGCACTCAAGAAAGAGCTTTGGCCATATCACTCAATTAATCTGAAACACAGCATACTGTCAACTTCTTACTATGATCGAACTCACTATAGCTGCCACACTGTTAACTCTCAGGATGATATTTTTGAAAATTCTCCAGCATATATTGATAACCCATGTAAGTTTAACTAAGCTTTCTAATGTATTGGAACTGCAAAATAGTTATAAATCTAGATGTACCAATAAATTTTAAGGCTGTCTTTTAGCAGCTTAAAAAATACTTGTATATCAAACTAGTGTTATTAATTTTCTTTACAATGCTCATTATTTAGCCTAGATCTACAAACTAAAATTAGACTTCTGTTGGTTTAGTGTTTTTATTATTTTTTTATAAATTTAGTTGCTGAAATTATAGAGCAACCAGAAAATGCAGCATATGCTGTCTCTGGAGAAACACTGACTCTGAAATGCTCTGCTCGTAGCCTATATCCAATGACTGTCAGATGGCATGAATCAAGATTTCTGTTTGCCATAAAAGTTGTAACAAATTCATTTAAGCAAGAAGGTTTTTACAATGAATTAAACAGTACAATGAGTGTCAAAATCTCCTTACTGACACCATTTTCATTTCGCATGTGGTGTATATTCACTACAAACATTTATTTTCAACCGGATAACTTCACAAAAGGACATGGTCTGTTTCAAACAGGGATAATCTTTGAAAAGCCCCAGATAATTAATCCTTACGTCACTTCAGTGCATAGTGTTGTGACAATACAGCGTAAGTCAATTCAGTTGCAAGTCAATTTTAATTTTTATTTATAGACCCATCATCTATCACCTCTAACGTCACTAGTATAACTATCAATGAAACTGAAAAGATGTACCTTTGGTGCTTTGCTACAGGTATTCCTCAACCAACTATCATTTGGTATCACAATAGCAGACAGCTTCACTCAAACAGTTATTTGACAATAACTAATCCCTCAGCTCAACAATCAGCAGTAATTATACTACAAACTAGATATGAAAGAGATAAGGGAACATATACATGTGAAGCTAGAAACAATGTCACTAATTTGATTAAGGCAAAACAATCCCACAATATAACTGTGAATATACAAGGTACTTTAACAGTTTAAGCTAATACAATATAAATATGATTATCATATAGTGGCTCCAGAGATTGAACTACCACAAAACATAACAGCTTATGAAAGTGATAATGTTACCATTACTGTAAAAGTGGTGAGAGCTCATCCTCCTGTACTACCTGACCACATATCATGGACATATTGGACTACTTCCAGCAATGGAAGTATGACAATACCAACTATTGAGGAAGGATATGATAGCAGGGTCAACATCTCAGAAGATAGTACGAGTCTTTATATTTCTGATCTAACAAGTGATGATGAAGGATACTATCAAGTATTAATATGGCATCAAACTGGGTATAAGAATAAAACAACCTATCTTAAAATAGAATCGCCTACTGAAGGTATGATAAATTAATTCCACAAAAGTAGATTCTGTGAATAATTAGTAGGTACTACTGCATCTACTAGCACTCAATACACTACAACAATCAGTACATCATTGGGATTAGGCATGACCATTATCATTCTGTGTATTGTTATTGTAAGCATTATTGTATACAAGAAGAAAAGAAATAAAAAAGACCAAATAATGAGAGATCTATTTGAAATGGAAAACAAGTAAAAAATAATTGTTTAATTATTGTAAAATTATGAACAATTTTCTAGTGGAAGACGTAGGTCTAGTGCTTTAACAAATACTGCTCAAAGTATGTTAATCTGAAGACAATTTTAAATGTTATTGTTATTGTAGTTTGTTTAAATGCTACTGATCCTAATTTTTTGAAAGCTCTACCTTTACTCCTGCTAATAAAAAGATCTAACTTGAAGCTACTGGACTGCATTGGTCAAGGTAATACAATGTATGGGAAAAAGTTTAAAACTAGCAATTTGTTCTGCAGGTGAATTTGCTAAAGTATATAAAGGACATTACTACATTAATGGAGAATGCAGTCTTGTTGCTGTTAAAGCTCTCAAAGGTACCTGTTACACAAAATTATTCTACTTTATCAATAGCATATGCAACACAGGAATAATGGACAGATATGATAGCAATGATATGAAAGATTTAATTGAGGAGAGTCTAGTAATGAAGGATTTACAGCATCCTAATGTAATGGGATTAATTGGTATATGCTTAGATGCTGGACCATCACCACTGATTGTACTACCATATATGGAAGGTATAGAGCCTAGAATGAAACAATATTGCATTGTGTATGCAAATAATAGGTGGCAGTTTACTCAAGTACTTGGTAAAGAATAGAGATATTCTGATGACTAGTACATCAACAGATAATGATGAGGTTGTGTATTACTTACAATATAAGGACATTGTACTAATATCACTATTCATATAGATCAATCAAGTTCGTTCACAGCTACTGTCAATATGTCTACAAATTGGAAAGGGAATGCAGTACATTGTGGAAAACAATCTGATACACAGAGATTTGGCAGCAAGAAATTGCATGTAAGTTTATATTTAAGTAAATAAGGGTAATACTAGATTTTGGCACCATTTATGCATACTCTGAACAAATTTGGCATGTAAAATAAATTAATGACCCACAAAGAGTTGTCAACATCCTTGAGATGATAATTACATTTTTAAGGATTGATGCCACTGGCAATGTAAAGGTAGCTGATTTTGGTCTCTCTAAAAATGTAAGTGGTAACATTTATTTCCGGCAACAAATGTCAAGTGGAGTTAAACTGCCAATCAAGTGGATGGCCATTGAAAGTATAGAGGATGGTATATTCACTGAAAAGACTGATATAGTAAGAGAAATAAGTATATGCATTACTATACTCACACACATACACACAGTGGTCATTTGGTATTACAGTATGGGAAGTGTTTAATGAAGGGAAGACACCTTATGGTGGGTTTTCACCAACATGTGTTAAGACTATGATATCTGATGGATACAGACTTGAAGCACCTTCAAATTCAGCATGCAATGATAATATGTAAGGAATACATTAATGAGTTGAATTATTAGTATAATCATCATGCTTATAGATATCAAAAGACAATGCTAAAGTGTTGGGAGAGGGATCCTAATGAGAGACCAACATTTGCTCAAGTTGTGACAGATATTGATACATTGCTATCAAACAGTGTTGGATACTTGGACCTTACACTGTAATTCATCAATGAAAACTCTCTACTCTTTACCAATTATTATTGGAATTATTCGTACAAAATTTTCAGATTGAATTTGCAAAATCCATGTATGTATAATAATGGCTGCTAATTTTAATAAGTATGCCAATCAAAAGTAATTACTAATTCCTCACTTCAATAATAATTTTGTGCACAAATATAATTTTCTGATGCATTTCCTAGTCTAAGTGGTTTGATTATCAATTTAAATAGCATGTTACAGTTAGTATATAATACAGGCCAAATTAGCATACAAGAAAGATTTGAGTATGCCAGTCAGTCTTACTCTAATTTAATTACTAGATGAGGAAATTATTGCAAGCAGAGGAAATTAAGGATTGTTATAACAACATTCATGTGATCATTACCTTGTTGTCGCCAACTACAATTTGAATGAAATGTGTAGCATACAAAAGATCAGATAGAGTATATTAGATCTATAATTAAAGTATGGGTATTTGGGTGTCTTCTTTTATGATACTAGTCATTTACAACTCCTACATTTTGCTCTAAATAAATTAAATTATTACCATACACAAAAATTGACTTAGTACTAAATTAGCTGAATTGATCCTAATGTCAAATCATTCCTAGCATAATTCATGGACAATGGCACACATACATCTTTGAACACAGATTAATTAACAATACAACTAATTGATGTAATTACATTATATTCGATCTCATTAATGTAATTACATTATGTCAAATTAATTACATCATATGTAATAGCATGAACTCAATTACTCAATAAGGATAGCCAAATAAGGTAGTATGTGACTATTGGCTCATATCAATTTATTACAAAGTTCATTCTAGACTATACTCGTTTAAAATGACGCCTGCTTTTTTTCTAGGTCTCTTCATATCAGCTCTTCTATGGTGTCTCAATGTTGGACAGTTGGATGGTAGTGGGAATGTGTTTGATTACAAGCAAGAGATAGATGATGCTGGTTAGTAAAAATAATGTGAATGCTTTGAATAATTGTCAAGAATTGGTCTATAGATCCAATGATTGTACAAGATCCTTTTCTCTATTATTTGGACTACAAGACAGTGTATGTGAACTGTTCTGTTTATGGAGAGTCTCCATTTGAAGTCTCATGGTTGTATAGTACTGATGAGATATCTAATAGATCCAGTGACTACACTATCATCAGTGGTAGTAAAGTGTCTAATATTGTGTACAATCCTAACTCTGATGATGAAGGATATACGTGGTGGAACAGTTCTCTTCTTTTAAATCCTATTAATAACTCAACAGTTGGATATTACTACTGTAGAGTCAACACCTCATTTGGACTAAACTATTCAAAACCAGTCTATGTCAGGAAGCCTGGTAAACCATTATTCTTATTTGGTAGATACACAATGTAATAATTTCTATGATTATGTAGATTTACCAAGGCTAAGCTCCACAAAGTTCAATAAAATTGGTGACATGGTGTTTGGAACATGGAGAGTGATAAGTTTTCCATTGCCAAATATTCTAATTTCATTTCAGTTGTTGAGTAGTGAACCCATCTACCAAAAAACAGTATACAATGACTATATGACTGCCAATGTGTCAAACAGCTTTTACAGCACTAGTCACAATTTTACTTATGTAAATGAAACAAATGTCAATAGCCTCACTGTACATTGGAGTTTTCCTTTCCATCAATTATTTTCAATGCAACTAATAGCAATCAGTTATGATTGCTCATCCCAAAAGGAACACTATCACCAGCTATACAATCATTCTGGTATGAACTTTTTTTTCAACTAAAATATTCCTTTTTTTAAAGGTCAAGCTTATGCAAGTTTTCTTTCTTTATCATCCACTGAACGAAAGGTCACCTTTTCATGTCTCTGTGCAGAGTGTGATGGTATTGAATGGAGACGGGACAATGTACCACTACCAAAGAGTAGCTATGGTGTTGTTGCACTCAAGAAAGAGATTTGGCCTTCTCACTCAATTAATCTGAAACACAGCATACTGTCAACTTCTTTCTTTGACAGCTATCTCTATAGCTGCCAACCAGTTTACTATCAAAGTGATATATTTGAAATTATTCCAGCATATATTGATGTCCCACGTAAGTATTATAGATTAATGCATTGATGGATGACAACTGTAAAGTTGCAAATGAAAAGTACTCTAAATTTTAGTAGGCCTATTAGCAGTTTTTATTATACTAGTTTTGTTTCACTTAAGTCTAGCAGTTTTATAAAATAGAGATGCACCGATGTTGATATTCCAATGACCAAAAATTAATATAGCCAATACTGGCTGACCAGTAGCCAATCTGATAGTCCCATTCGACATTTTAGGTAAAAGTTTAGCACAAGTATGATGTGATTAATTTTTGCCAATTTAATCCTCACCAATAAACTAATGAGCTACAATTTCCTAGAAACCATTCATTTTTTCAGGAAAATATTAATTTTCTAAAAAAATTCTTTGATTGCATGCAAAATCCAAGTCTTGAGCAAGACTACTAAAATATATTGATAATACCAGCAGTACACAAATTAAAAGTCTAGTTGTTATTTTATGCATGAATGTAGATGCTGAAATCATCAAGAGACCAGAAGCATCAACATACGTCCCTGGAGAAACACTCACTCAGAAATGCTCTGCTCGTAGTCTCTATCCAATGACTGTCAGATGGCAAAAATCAATAAACAATCTGTTTTCAACTATAGTTAAAACAGATTCACTTGCAACAGAAGGCCTTTATAATGTATTGAACAGTACAATCAGCTTTAATATCTCCATAATGACACTGCTTTCTTTTAAAATGAGGTGTATATTCTTTACATACATTTATTTTCAACCGGATAACTTTGCAAAAGCTCATGGTCTGTATCAAAAAGGACTACTATTTGAAAGACCAAAACCAATGACAGTGAATAAAATTACACAAAATCGTGAAATGACAATACAATGTAAGCCTATTGTGATTAAAACTTTAAATAAAACTTCAATTTTAATTTTACACAGATCCATCATCTATCACGTCTAATGTCACTGATATCACAATAAATGAAACTGAAAGGATGTACCTTTGGTGTTTTGCTACAGGTGTTCCTCAACCAACTATCATTTGGTATCACAATAACACACAGCTCCACTCAAACAGTTATTTGACATTATCTAATCCCTCAGCTCAAGAGTCAGAAGTAATTATACAACTAACCAGATATGAAAGAGATAAGGGAACATATACATGTGAAGCTAGAAACAATGTCACTAATTTGATCAATACAAAGCAATTACACAATATAACTGTGAATATACAAGGTATTTATATGATATTAATATTACTAAGCAGTTTACCTTAAATTATGAAATGCACTAATTTTAGTGGCTCCAGAGATTGAACTACCACAAAACATAACAGCTTTTGAGAATGAAAATATTACTATTATCGTAAAAATAATAAGAGCTCATCCTCCTGTACTGCCTGACCACATATCATGGACATACACAACCAGTAATAGAAGTGCAAGAACAATAAATCAAAGTATTGAGGAAGAATATGATAGCAGGGTCAACATCTCAGAAGATGGCAGGAGTCTTTATATTTCTGATCTAACAAGTGCTGATGAAGGATACTATCAAGTATTAATATGGCATCCAGCTGGGTATAAGAATAAAATAACTCATCTTAAAATAGAATCACCTACTGAAGGTATAGTTTTATATAATGAACTAAAAATACAGGTATTAATAATTAGTAGTTACTACTGCAGCATCATCATCTAGCAATCAATTCATAGTTGCAATAATCAGTACAGCTTTGGGACTAGGAATGACCATTATAATTCTGTGCATTGCTATTATAAACATTGTTGTATACAAGAAACGAAGAAGTAAAAATGACCCCATTGGAAGACGCAGATCTAGTGCTTTGACAAATACTGCTGAAAGTTAGTCCATGATTGAAAAGCATTTTTTATTGCTAATGTAGTTTGTTTAAATGCAACTGATCCAAACTTTTTGAAACTTATACCTTTGATTCTGCTAATTAAAAGATCTAATCTAAAGCTATTGGACTGTATTGGACAAGGTATTACAATGTTTGAAAAAAATTATATTTTTGTCATTTTCATTCCACATGTAGGTGAGTTTGCTAAAGTATACAAGGGACATTATTACATTAATGGAGAATGCACTCTTGTTGCTGTTAAAGCTCTCAAAGGTACCAAGTAGACATTTTCTCTGAGTTACAATAGTGTATATACAACACAGGAATAATGGATAGATATAATAGCAATGATATCAAAGATTTAATTGAAGAGAGTCTAGTAATGAAGGATTTACAGCATCCTAATGTAATGGGGTTAATTGGTATATGCTTAGATGCTGGACCATCACCACTGATTGTACTACCATATATGGAAGGTATCAAGTCTAGAATAAAACAATATTTTTGCATTGTAATAGGAGGCAGTTTGTTTAAGTACTTGGTAAGAAACAGAAATATTCTGATGACTAGTGCATCAACAGATGATGATGAGGTTGTAATGTTGACTGTGTATAAACATCATATCATTATCCCGATTTGTAGATCAATCAAGTACGTTCACAGCTACTGTCAATATGTCTACAAATTGGAAAGGGAATGCAATACATTGCAGAAAAAAATCTGATACACAGAGACTTGGCAGCAAGAAATTGCATGTAAGTTTCTGCTATTTCGTAGTATATAAAAGCTTTTATTATTGCAGTAAATATAAGGGTAATAATAGCTGCTAAATATTTGGCAGCATTCATGCATCCATAACTTTGACAAGAGTTAATTAATGAGCTACAGACACTTGTCAAAACAAAAATTATATGCAGATGTTCTTTAGGATTGATGCAGTTGGGAATGTAAAGGTAGCTGATTTTGGTCTCTCTAAAGATGTCAGTGGTAATATCTATTTCCGGCAACAAATGTCAAGTGGAGTTAAGCTGCCAATCAAATGGATGGCCATTGAAAGTATAGAGGATGGTATATTCACTGAAAAGACTGATATAGTAAGAGAAATAAGTATATGCATTACTATACTCACACACATACACACAGTGGTCATTTGGTATTACAGTATGGGAAGTGTTTAATGGAGGGAAGACACCTTATGGTGGGTTTTCACCAACATGTGTTAAGACTATGATATCTGATGGATACAGACTTGAAGCACCTTCAAATTCAGCATGCAATGATGATATGTAAGGAATACATTAATGAGTTGAATTATTAGTATAATCATCATGCTTATATAGATATCAGAAGACAATGCTAAAGTGTTGGGAGAGGGATCCTAATGAGAGACCAACATTTGCTCAAGTTGTGACAGATATTGATAGACTACTATCAAACAGTGTTGGATACTTGGACCTTACAATGTAACTCAATCTTACAATGTAAACTGATAATGGGATTTTTATGTATCAAAATAATTATTCCCTTTGCTAATAATAAAATTCTTTGCATAACAACACAGACTTGAACTAGTGGTTTGATGGTTAAAGTTATGTACACATGTATTATGGTACATCATATCAACATCAGAGTATAATAAATTCAGAGATGCCATATCCCTCAAAATAACCTTCAAAAGGAAGGAGCACACAATTCACCTCATCAACCATTGGCCATAACTTGAAAAATTAAAGTCGGAATCAGCTCAAACTTTCTACACAGCATAAGGACATTTGTATCAAAAAATGTAATAAAAATTTGGCGTAATTTTGGAGCCATTTCTTGGAAAAATCCATGGGCTATAGCCCATAAATCTAAAAAATACCCAAGGCTATAGCCTTGGGTATTTTTCAGATTTTTGGTGCTTTCTTAAAATGGTTGTAACTTGAAAAATTTAAGTCAGAATCAGCTCAAACTTTCTACACAGCATAAGAACATCAATATGTATCAAAAATGTAATAAAAATTTGAGGTAATTTTGAGGACATTTTTTGAAAAAAACCATGGGCTATAGCCTTGGGTATTTTTTAGAATTTTGGCACTTTTTAAAAATGGTCGTAACTTGAAAAATTGAAGTCAAAATCAGCTCAAACTTTCTACATAGCATAATGACATTAATGTGTATCAGAAAATGTAATAAAAATTTGGGGTAATTTTGGAGCCATTTTTTGGAAAAATTTATGGGCTATAGCCTTGGGTATTTTTCAGATTTTTGACATATTCTTAAAATGGCCATAACTTAAAAAATAAAAGCCAGAATCAGCTCAAATTTTCTACATAGCATAAGGACATCAATATGCATCAGTAAATGTAATAAAAAGTTAGGGTAATTTTGGAACCATTTTTTGGAAAAACATGGGCTATAGTACAGGGTATTTTAGAATTTTGGTAAATAATTATTGCTTTAAAATGGTCATAACTAGAAAAAATTTAAGTTTAAATCAGCTCAAACTTTTTACACAGCATATAATGAAATCAATATGTGTCAGAAAATGTAATCAAAATTTAGGTTGATTTTTGAGCCATTTTTCAAAAAAAACTATGGATATTTTTCAAAAAATTGGCTTACACTGTAAAACTCATTATTGATGTCGGAATTGGTTCAAACTTTCTACATAGCATAAGGACATCAATGTGCATCAGAAAGTATAATGAAAAATTCTTTAGAACAATGTTCAACATAAGTAATGCAATCTGGGTCATATGAATGTAAAAATTAGCAGAGAATCTGGCTTTTACCAAGTGGAAAAAGCTCTTTAATTGCAATGATCAGCTGCTCTAATGTAAATTATTTTAAAGGATAGAACACAGATGACCATGATAACCATGATAACCAGTTATCTGACAGTACATCTTCTAAATGATCCCCCCTATAACTGGCCACATATGCCAGCCTGATGATAATAATATCTCTAAATCTCAACCCTCTACTGAAACTCATTGCAATTATGTTTCAGTTATTTTCATTGCTTCTTTGATACTATTATTCATTGCCATTATAATACCTTATTTTTATTAAAACCGATAATTTTTTAGCCCTAAAAATTTTTGATTTTTCAAATTTAAAATTGAATGGTTATCATGAAAGTAATAACTAGATCTTTGTGGGTTTAACTGTGGCAAAAGCTTATGAACATTTAGTAATTTGTGCTCAAACTTTTCTATATGCATAAAAACATTGTAAGATGTTAGCACCTAAAGTGTAAATAAAGGTGTGAACAGGACTGCTAGTAAATTGTGGAGTGTGCTATGTGTATTACAAGAATTACCAAACAATGCAAAATTTAATGATACAAGATTATTGGTATAATAATCCTTTATGATTAGGTCTTATTTTTTTCCGAGAAAATAGATCTCAGATTCTTTTGAATACAATAGTGGCTCAAAGGGCCTGGCTATGTGAGACTATAATAACAGCATTGATAATCATATTTTTACAACAAATAAATGATTCTCATTATGATCAATAGTGCCATTATTGCACCAAAAATTTTCAGTCATGAATCATTATTACTACATCTGTGTAAGGCTATTTAACGTTATTATAAAAAACTCTATTAGCCTTATGTTCAAAGTTTAATTTTGGCTTTGAACTTTTGGCTCAATAAGATTGTAGGTTATAGTATAAACTATAAAGGATAGCAAATAGGGTAGTTACGGTATAGACTACGTGACTTGGCTCACACCTTATTACTACAGCCTATCTACTTGCTTCAACATGATATCTATGTTTTTCCTTGGTCTGTTTCTGTCACTCCTATTACGACATCTTAATGTTGGAGAGTTAGATGGTAGTGGAAATGAGTTCAATAATGAGCAACAGATGGATAATGCTGGTTAATAATAAGTAATTCCTGGAATTATTCTTATAAACTGATCTATAGGTCCTATGGTTCTACAAGATCCATTTCTCTATTATTTGGACTACAAGACAGTGTATGTGAACTGTTCTGTTTATGGAGAGTCTCCATTTGAAGTCTCATGGTTGTATAGTACTGATGAGATATCTAATAGATCCAGTGGCTACACTATCATCAGTGGTAGTAAAGTGTCTAATATTGTGTACAATCCTAACTCTGATGATGAAGGATATGTGTGGTGGAACAGTTCTCTTCTTTTGAATCCTATTAATAACTCAACAGTTGGATATTACTACTGTAGAGTCAACACCTCATTTGGTCTAAACTATTCAAAACCAGTCTATGTCAGGAATACATGTAAGTTAATTATAGAGAAAGAAGTATATTAACATATTATTATGCATTTAGCTGGACCAATGTTGATCTCAAATAATACAAGTCTATTTAAAAAGAGAGACTTAGTGAATGGTAGTTGCATTGTAAAGAGTTTTCCTCAACCAAATATACTCGTTTCATTTCAAACCTTATTTTATATATCATCAGGAACAAGTACTAGAGTGTATCACAACTATGACACTGCTAACATCTCTCACAATCATTATGTTAGTAGTCATCTTTCCCTCTACGTTAATAAAGAAGGTGATGACATCATACGTGTAAACTGGTCAATTTCATTCAGCCATATGTTCTCAATGCAACTAATAGCCATCAGTTACAACTCTACCTCCAATGTATCTGAATATCACAAGCTATACACTCACACTGGTAATGAGGTACTATATGTTTAATTTATTTAGACTTGATTAATAGGTCAT